GCTGCGGGTGGCCCGGTCGGTTGGTGCCGGGCCATCAGCCATAACGCAGACTACGCGCTTTTGTTTGTCCACGCTCTTTCAGCTTTATTTAAATGCACAGTGTGGTACCGACCAAGCGTGGCTATGGTTAGAGTCAGCCTGTGGAGGGGAGCCAGGGTGGGGGGAACAGCAGAGGTGCGGGTCCGTCCGTACGGCCGTGCCAGCCGTGAGAGATGCAGTGAGAGGTCTTCGCCCGAGGCCTGCAGTGTTGCTGGTGTCCGCGCCTGGCTCTGAGGCCGCTCAGCAGCCCTCAAGCACAACAGCTTGCGTAGGGGTAACGGGGCCGAGCCCACTGATACCCGTAAATGTAAAATTTCCACTTACCAGAGTGACTGTTATTAAACTAACATAGACCCTTGCTGTTTTGAGAAGACAGGAAAGCTCAAAGATAAAGAGGCTCCTAAATAACGCTACTTAGACAAGCTTGACTTGCTGTTTTGGGGGGGGATAGGAAAGCTCTAAGGTAGAGCTTAGAGCTAATGTTATTTGGACAGCTCGGCCTTGGGAGGGCAGGTGCACCAAGCTACAGAGATAAAGAGGCACCAAGAGAGCAACAAGACCAGAGCAAAACAAGCTGGAAGGACACGCTATAGGTGATCTTAGAACTGAGTCTGCGCAGAAACAAAGGTCAACCAGCGGACACTGTGATGAGGAGTACAAGCCTTCATCTTGAGACCCCCAAAGACCACCCGAGGACGCTAACAGACATGCGTGAAACATATGAACGTATGCTAATTAGTTCTTGGAAAAGTCATGAATATGCTAAGCATTTCTTGGAAATATGATGAATATGTATATTGTGATTAACCTGAAATGACAGGGTGTTTGGCGTGCATGTTTGGAGGAGAGATCCCCCGTGTGCCCAGCGCTGTAATAAAGAATGCCTGCTTAATAGCCTGCTGACTATTGAGTCTTCAACTCTGGTTTTTCACGGCATCACCACAAAGACCTGACTGGTGCCCACAGGCACGCTCCTGCAGTCCTAACTTGCAGGAGAAGGTAACGCTCAGGCTGACACGGGCGTCCCTTTTCTTTGTCCTGCTTTCTGCACAGCCCGATAGCGAACGCTTTTCTGGGCCCTGCAGTTTTCAGCATGGCTCCTCTGGGGTTTACCTAAGGTCACAGAAAACGTAGGGTGGGGAATCCGTCTTTGGCGCTGCATGAACTGCATAGCTGAAACAGGATCTCCGCCGTGGGGTTTGCTGGGGCTGAGCGCGTGCTTGAAAGACTTGAAGCTGAATTAGTCCCTCCTAAAGAAGTCTATAGGTTTGCCATATTTTCTTGGAAGTTAATGTAGATAAAATAGTTATATAGACCACCTTTCATTATTTAACGGGGGAAAGTGTTAAAAGGAGGGTATCCAGTCTGAATTACAGGGGAATTTTAAGTAGGCAAAAACCTGGTGTTTGCACGTTAGGGTTACTACTCTTGCAAAATAGATCTGATTACAGCTTGGCACAGCGTATAGCAGGCTTATCAGTAGAGAAACCAAAATAGCCAGTAGTGCAATACAGTAGGTACAGCACTCAGGTTATATATGGAAAAAAACAAAGCCAGGTTGTTGCAGACTGGCTCTCTCATTCCCATGCTCATCTTTTATTTTACAGAAATAGGAAACTCATCTTCACAGTGTGTACAGACTTCATCAACCACACCTTAAAATCGGCCATCTGCAACTACTTACTCTTTCTTTATTTTTCTGGCCTTAATATGAAATTACTTATACAAAATGGTACTTACGCAGAAGAAATCTTGAAAGAGATTCAGCCCACACCACCATTATGGTGAAAGTCATCTTTGAGCGGGGAAGTTGAGGCTCAGATTGTCATATATATTATGCAATTGAAGCTGGGTTTCCCATATGTTGTTTGAAACCCTTAATTATCAAGTTACTGGGTTTTCTGGGATGAGCAAAATCTCCTTGCTGCACTTCTGCCCAATTATTCTGAAAGATCATGATTTCATGCCAGTGAAGAAGAAGAAAACATTTAAAATCACAAAACTTTCCTAGAACAAGAAAAATGTTTCTATCCCAGATCTAACTGCAGCATTTCTCGTATCGCCTGTCGTAACTTTGGCAGAGGAAAGAATCCCAAGTTTACATGATCCTTCAAAACTGCCAGGCAGTGCTGATTATTACGAGGATTTGTTTGTCTGGCATCGATGCAGGGCTCCTGTTAGGAAGAAGTGGGGTTACCACACACAAAAATATAGCTCAAATACTTGTGCTGTCACTACGTGCTCAAAGAGCTGCGTTGCGCCATCAGCTCCACTCCAAGGCTTGCAAAGTCTCATTTCTTCTGTAGGGTCCTTTCCATGCCCCACTGCCAGTGCTTGGTGAGTTTCCGAGCAAAAAGTGAAACCAGAAAGAGAAATGGGCTTTGTATGAGCTAAGGAGAAGAGCTAGGTGAGAGTTTCAGAGTATGGATTGATGTGAGAGGCTTGGCTGGGCAAAATTAGGTAATGGGTGCGAGAGATCGCGTACTGGGGGAGGTCTGCCTTGAGGGCGAGGTCTGAGTGGCCCACCTGGGGCTGGGTGTCTTGCTGAACATGGTTCCCCAAAGCCACCTTCTGTGAAATCAAGGCCTGTGTATTTGATCCTAAGCAGTAGTGGTTTGTACATTTATTCAGCAGATGAAAAAGAAAAGACGTTTCTTTTCCATCTTTTTACTGACAACACTGCTGTTCCCACGGAAATTCAATGTGCTTTCAGTTATCTCCAATATGCATAAGGAGCTTCAGGCTTCCTAAAAGCATGACTGATGTGATTACTCAATACATTCAGACTAATGCATTTAAAGATTTTTTTTGTAACTATTTATCATAGTGAACTAAATATGGGCTTTGGGGGTGCGTAATATTTGAGACCCCGCCTGGAGTCCTGCGTCCAGCTCTGGAGCCCTCGGCACAGGACAGACATGGACCTGTTGGAGTGGGTCCAGGGGAGGGCCACAAAAATGATATGAGGGATGGAACAGGTGAGGAAAGGCTGAGAGAGTTGGGGTTGCCCAGCCTGCAGAGGAGAAGGCTCCAGGGAGACCTTATAGCAGCCTTTCAGTACTTAAAGGGGGCCTATAGGGAAGCTGGAGAGGGACTTTTTACAGGGGTATGTAGTGATAGGACAAGGGGTGATGGCTTTTAACTCAAAGAGGGTAGATTTAGGTTAGATACAAGACAGAAATTCTTCCCTATGAGGGTGGTGAGGCACTGGAACAGGTTGCCCAGAGAAGCTGTGGCTGCCCCCTCCCTGGCAGTGTTCAAGGCCAGGCTGGATGGGGCTTCAAGCAACCTGGTCTAGTGGAAGGTGTCCCTGCCCATGGCAGGGGGATTGGAACTAGGTGATCTTTAAGATCTCTTCCAACCCAAACCATTCTGTGATTCTATGATTCTGTGACTTGGCTGAGTATACATAAAGAGCTCAGAACAAACAAAGCAATCACAATCTAAAGCTGAGTTTCGTAACATCCTTAGTTGATCAAGGTAGATCTCCATGTGGCCACGGCTGTGATGCTTGCATTCCACTAACAAACCAAAGCATGCTGAATTCCAAGAAAAGAGTTTCCATTTTCCAGAAAGAGTACAGTAATGGTTGTGCAGGGATTAGAAAAGATGGTTATAACTGCCTTAAGGCCTATCTTTGCTGATAGAAGAACTTTCTGTATTGCTGATTCTGGCTCAGGCATGTGGAGCAAATAATAACAATAACTTTTGCTTACTGTGCTAAGAAGAAATCTCATGAAATTTTTGCACTTTTTTCCCCCCTAAAAATGTTAGAACATTGCTAGGTGACCTGCTACTGCTGCATGGATTGATAGTATCGTCCTTAGTCACTCACATAGACCATTTGATTATGGAGCAAATTAAATATTTTTTCCCCAAGATTCACGCATACCTAAAAGGATACATCTGGACAGGCTTAAGATATTGCCAAAAAATGTAGCACCCCCTCTTTTAACTGAGAAGATAATTCATAACTTGATTGCAAGGACTTCAGTCAATATCAGGACATTTTATAGTAATTAATTGCTATGCCATTGGAAAGGAAATAATCAGAAAGACAACTGGTTCTTTTTAAGATATAACAGAAACAATGTTAAGAATATCTGAAAAATAAAAAGCATGTTAAATCAAAGTTTGATTTTAAAAAAAGTATCATGGTTTGCAGCTAATCGTGGTACTGTTTATTTTTCAAAAGACTTCGTTGTGTGCAAATTAATGGAAAATGAGAATGACTAGTTCCAAGACTGGTTAGCGTGTCACATAGTAGCCAAGTATGCTGTCAGTTGTTCTCTGATCTGGAAGACCAAGTAACTAAAAGTTTCGGGGATTTACCCCGATGTGCAACCAGAGTTTCAGAGCTATGGGATGTGTTTGGCTGTGTCAGCGTTAATACATTGAGATGCTGAATCACGCCCCACAAGATGGTTATCTATGGTTATATATACTGCACAGCTCAAAACATGTTCAGCGTTTTCCAGAAATTAGAAATTGGGTTTGTATTTTCAGCGGGGATATTTCCTCACTGTAGTTTGTGTGGGTTTTTTTCAACAGCGAATCATATAAGGATGTTAGAAACACATTTTTAGAGGCTGAATAAGACTTAAGTTTATTCTGCGATGTGCTAGCAGATTTTAAAGATACGGCATTAGAATCAGGATAATCTTTTGTTTTCTACAGATCATGACAGTGTATTCATTCTGGAGAAGAAATGTCCCCTTCATCCAAAAAAAAAATCCCTACATGAAAAATAACAAAAGAAAAAAATTATTCTTTCTCTGGAAAAATATTTGCACTTTAGGAGTTCTTAAAATCATAAAAATTGATAAAAGTCTGGGTATGAGCTGTTAGAAAAGGGAACACTGAGTACTCAGGTTCAGTAGTATGTGTATGCTTGGGAGTCTTGTTTTAGAAATATGTCCATTCTATCTACAAAAAATAGTTTTTACAAGAGTTTAAAACTCATGAAGTACAGTGGGGAACATATTCTTTGTGTAAAAATCATTACAGATGATCCTGTTAAGGCGGAGCTTCAAAAAAAGTTAGTGAGAAGATAATTCTCCATGTAAGGAATTTTATAATTAGATTGAACAGGTAAAGTAAAATATATTGAGATGTATTAAGATGATGATAAATGTCACCCTACATATTAAATTGATGTTATACCAAGTTGTATATTTGAAGCAGTAGGAATCCACACATGAGGAAAAAATAAATGGTGTAGTAAGTAGAAGTTCCTAAAACATGTCTTAAAATAAGGCTTCATCCTTAATTTTTCACAGCTGTGGCCCTATTTTTCACATAAGGAAAGCTGGTTCCCTTCTTGCTATTGGGAGGGCTTGGCTTTATGGCCCTCTCCTTCACCCTCATTTCATATGTTTCATTGCCTCTCGTTCCCTATTCTTTTTTTTTTATTTTTATCTTGTATCTTGCTGTAACTTTGCTAGTACAGTGATGCCCTTTTGTTCAAAATGGCAAGTGTTATTTTGCAGCAGTTGTTGTAATAGCCCTGGAGGCAATCAAATGCATCTGCCAGATTAGCATTACACAGAGTACAGCCAAGAGAAAAATCTTCCCTTTCACTGATGTCCACTTCCCCCAATACCCTTCCCTTCCCATGCAGTCACTCACGCCTCTTATCTCTTCCATGGGATGAAATTCTCTTGAGATGTGGAGGTTTGGTTTGATGCTCTTCCTGAGGTTGACTGGTAAGAGGTGAACTATTGCAGTGTGTGGTATAACCCACAAGTTAGGATACCTTCTTGTGACATATAAGATCAAAGTCCACATTTTTCTGCAAATGTATCGGGGGATATGAAGCATCATCCTTGAAAGCTGAAGCAAGTCTTTACAGAAGCAGTGACCTAACTCCAAGAAATAGAACATGGCTGTGGATCCCCATCGGCTGGTCTCCTTCCTTCTGCCCAAAGTCAGGCACCAAAATCCTAAGAAAGTGGAACTAAAGTGCCAGCTTTTCCTTGGTGTTTTCTGCTTGTTACTTTAGATCATGGAATGATATAATCATAGAATGCTTTGGGTTGGAAGGAACCTTCAAAAATCATCTAGCCCAACCCCCTTCCATGGGACACCTTCCACTAGAGCAGGTTACTCGAAGCCTTGTCCAACCTGGCTTTGAACATTTCCAGGGAGGGGGCAGCCACAGCTTCTCTGGGCAACCTGTCCCAGTGCCTCACCACGCTTATCATAAAAAAAATCTTCCTTCTGTTCAGTCTAAACCTATCCCCCTCCCCAAGCATACTGGCTTTTGACCAGGCACAGGACTTTGAGGTGGCAAACCCAGTGGCCCACCCTACACTTACCTGGGACAATGATTACCTGTTGCGGAACTACCGTCTTCCCCTTCCCCTCCCTTTCCTCCCTTGTGGCTGTGCATTTGCAGGATCCAGGTTTGTCCCCCCGGTTTCCAGAGGCCTGACGGCCCGGGGAAGCTGAGCTCCCGTGGCTGGGCAGAGGCAGGGAGCGAGGCAGGGAGAGGAGGGGTCATTTTAAAGAGCACCCGAGCGCAGGCTCCGGTCTCTTTTGCTCGCTGTAACAGCGAAGTGTCACACTGGAAACCACAAGCTGGGACTTAACAAGTGGCCTCCAATCTTTCTCCCTTTCTTTTTATCTTCTCATTTTCCAAGGAGGAGGCATTTTCACTGACAGCTTCTTGGACGGCTCTGGGACACCATTTTTCTGAGGAGGGTAAGGGGCTTTTAACTCCTCACTTTGATAGTGTTTAGAAGAGAAGATTTTAAGCTGTGGGGGGAGGCTGGTGGGTTGAATGCATTGTTCGGGGACCCCGAGTGTCCTTTGCCATGAGTTGTTCTTAAGCTAAAAGAAATTAGGTGAAAGCAAACAGCTACAGAAAACCAAATCATCCAGGGTTTTCAATGTTCAGTCACTTGGCTTTACTATAGAAATGTTTGATTTATTTTGCTGGTTTTGCATGTCCTGTCACTTATGTGCTTATACACTAAACTAGGTGGGGACATTTCTGCTGATGAAAAAGTGTTTTTCAGGAAAAAACTTGGAGAGTGAACATTTTTTAACAGAGGCCTTAAAATGTCACATGTTTAAATGAGCTCTGCAATGATGCAGCGAGGCAATAAACATGAAGTGCTGCGTGTATTAAAATTTTTAAGTTACTTGTCTCTGAAAATATTTGGAACTACAAATATGACTGCCAAAAGAATATGCCCTTGCCAGCTTCGAAGTTGTGGCTCTTAATATGCAAAGCTAGAACTATGTGGGTAGCACACAAAGCCACCCAAAAGTTTTGTTTTGCGTTTACTTTATGCCAGCTCATACACACAGCGTTTGCAGCATCACAGTTCTTCTGCAACAAAAGTTGTGTTAAACAACCAAGCACACTAACACACCAGCTATACCTTCGACTGAACCTGTCTTAAAATGGCAAGCTGCTGGGAGGTTGCTATTTTGGGAGGTGACTCTGATAGGTCCCAACAGATGCGGCTGCTGGAATGCAGCCGGAGCGGGGGAGCCGGGCGGCAGCTGACCCCCGCGCTGGCACACCGACATTTCGGGGATGGCAGCTCGCGTCAGCGCGGGCTGACACTGACGCTTGGGGCACACATGGCCTTCTCCCCTCGCCTGCTCAGCACACGGTCGTCACCCCACCGCAGCAGCAGAAAGAATCCTGGTGCTCGCAGGCAGCAACCATTCCTTTCTATAATTAAAGGACTGCTTTGTTACATGCTGCGTGCTTAAAGCAAAGCTGGTGTGCCGAGATTTTAGGTTGAAATACTGCTCGAGTTCTTTATTAAATTACCTAAAATAATCCACTCATTTGTTTTATCGTTAGGTAGCATTTCTTCATGAATGAGCGCAAGGATGGCAAAGAAAATTAGCCAGTGTCAATTTTTTTGAAATCAATGGATATATTGAAGATAAATGCTCTGTCTGAATGCTGATTTCAGCACTTCTCTTTTAAGTGCGTTATTGCAAATCACTGCTTTCCTTCAAAGTGTATTTGCATATATATATATTTATTTGAAATAGTTCCTTAGAAAATTGCTTAGGGGCTGTCTCAGATTGCATTTGACAAAACTTGGCTCTTCCTTTCAGCAAGAGCTGGAACTTACCTAGAGCTGATAGGTACAATTCCTACATCTGTTCTAGCATAGCTGTATGGGAGTAATGATTACCTTCACACATCAAGAACTTCTTTAAAATAACACGTCCTGCTAGAGTTGCAGGACTTTTTTTTTCAAATAAAATTTAGACATCTTATCTTCTCCCTAAATATCCGCAAAATCCTATAAGTAGGTTTCTAAGTTGGTTTCTGAGTTTCAAATTACTGATACTGAAATGCAAGTACAGTGTGCTACGAGTAGAAGGTTTGTGTGAATCTGATGTGGTAGATAGAATATTGTCAGTTTAGAAAATCAAAAGTTACAACAACCTGGAAGCAATTTGGAGCAGCTCTTAAATCTAAAATCAACATGACGTCATACTAAAATTCACTTCTCTTTATGTCATATTTTGCTTTTTTTCTTTAAGAATTTCTCCTACTCTTAGTATTTCCTGCTCAAATTCTGAACCCAACTGTCAGTCTGTGCTAGCCCTGGAGTAATGATGAACAAATTTGGGGGCCCATATCTTTCCTATGCTTCAGATTTATGAATTCAGATCTAAAGCCTGGCTAATTTAAATGTATATTTATAAAATTTTACACTCTAGCTAACTCATTTACTATTCTAAAGCCTGGCTAATTTAAATGTATATTTATAAAATTTTACACTCTAGCTAACTCATTTACTATTTAGGAATGTAATTTAGCTCTTTGAATGTGGTGACAACAGGGGAATGTTATTTTTATGATCTTGTTACTAAAAAAAAAGGAATTACCTCTACTACTTCTTTACAATTTGAGTATCCATTGTTATTAATAACAAGCCACACTACAATCTAGGACAGTGTAATCATTTTTAGGAAGATAGATTATCCTGTCTATTTTGCTTTTGTGGTATTTATATGTATTAACAAAGATTAGATTTGTTGCATAAGCACTCTGCTCTTAAATTTCACAACTGCAGTGTAGCTCTAAATGCTGTAATTTTATTTTTAGCAAGCTCTTGGCTGTAATATTTCATTGCTGTCATGGCCCCTAAGAAGAAGAATGTGAAGAAGAACAAAGCAGATATCAATGAAATGACTATCATCGTGGAAGATGGTCCCCTCAGTAAGCTAAATGGCTTGAATGGACTCTTGGAAGGAGGAAATGGTTTCAGCTGCATTTCATCTGAAGTTTCCGACCCATCATATAGCCCAAATCTCTTGGAAGGTCTAAGCAAAATGAGACAAGAAAATTTTCTTTGTGACTTGACTGTCAGTACCAAAACCAAATCCTTCAGTGTTCATAAGGTGGTAATGGCTTCAAGCAGTGACTACTTCCACAACATCTTAAAGAAAGATCCATCAACTCAAAGAGTAGACCTCAATGACGTATCCCCATTGGGTCTAGCTACTGTTATCACTTATGCTTACACTGGAAAACTTACTCTCTCACTTTACACAATAGGTAGTATTATTTCCACAGCAATTTATCTACAGATTCACACCCTTGTAAAGATGTGCTGTGATTTTCTAATCCAAGAAATCAGTGTTGAGAATTGTATGTACATTGCCAATATTGCAGAAACGTATGGACTGAAAACAACCAAGGAAGCAGCACACAAGTTTATTAGAGACAACTTCATTGAATTTTCAGAAACAGATCAGTTCTTAAAACTTACTTTTGATCAGATTAATGAACTTCTTGCAGATGATGACTTGCAGTTGCCTTCTGAAATTGTCGCATTCCAGATTGCAATAAAATGGCTGGAATTTGACCAAAAAAGAGTAAAGTTTGCTGCTGATCTCTTAGGTAACATCCGTTTCGGTACGATCTCAGCTCAAGACCTTGTCAATTATGTTCAAACTGTGCCGAGAATGATGCAAGATGCAGACTGCCATAAGCTCCTGGTAGACGCCATGAACTATCACTTGCTTCCCTACCACCAGAACACACTGCAGTCCAGAAGAACGAGGATCCGTGGAGGCTTCAGAGTCTTAGTCACTATAGGGGGACGGCCTGCTCTAACAGAAAAGTCCCTTAGCAGAGACATCTTATACAGAGATCCTGAAAACGGATGGAAGAAGCTGAGTGAAATGCCTGCTAAAAGCTTTAATCAGTGTGTGACGGTGATGGATGGATTTCTCTATGTGGCCGGTGGGGAAGACCAGAATGATGCCAGGAACCAAGCCAAGCATGCAGTCAGCAATTTCTGCAGGTAACTGGTTATTTATTTCGAAGGGATGGAGAGATTGATTCCATGCGCTGCAGGTAGATAGACCAAGTTGGTTTGTGATGTGCAGTGTGAACCACTCAGATAAATAGAAGGGGGACAGGGTTGGAGAGGTGTGGATGCTATTGTATATTAAAGTTTGAATGGACTGAAATATGCAGCTGAAGTTACACAAAAACTTCACCATGGTTACACATGCGCAGTGAGAAGTGAGGAAAACCAAGAAAACTTGCTCCAAGTTGAGGAAATAAATAGGAACATAAATAGGAAGTCCTGGGATGTTCTAAGGTACCGTTAAAATGCACCGAATCAGACAAGGTGAGACTTTTTAAGTTTCAAGAGCTACTGATGCCTCACAGACAGTTCTGAAAAACACCTTTTAGGTATTATAATCTTGACTTTCTGTGCACCATCCACCTGATTTTCAGCAGCTTTTATACTTCATTTCATATCCTTTAGCTTTTTTGTTTATCGAGTATTTTGAAACAGTGTCGCCATCTTTTGAAGGCGATGTTTCTCTTCTGCAATGTACTCTCCAAATCATACCTCACTTCTGAAATATTACAGTTCCTACCTATAGTCATCCAAGGACTGCACTGGTGATAGCCAAGTCAGAAGGCTAACATGCCGCAGTCAAATGGGTGGTACTTGGTTTTTAAATAGTTCAGCCTGAAAGCTGACAGCACACAACAGCTTGAAGCAAAGGCTGGAGGTAAGACAACTCAGCTTTGTATCTGCTAACAGACTGTGGATGTGCAATGGCAATACACAGCCACAGTCCTACCAGTGCTTCCTTTCCTGCTCCCAGGAGGAAAATTCAGGTAACTTCTCCTGAAGACACCAACCAATATGCAGAGTTAATGAATAAGGAACCTCCTCTAGATCATTTTTATTGTGTAATGTACTTTGTCAGAAAAAACTCTCACATAAAGGAGATTATGCTGTTCCTCTCCTGACCTTCTGCTTTTAACCTGTGCCTCATGTTCTCACAAGGAGCTGGGTGCTCGGTGCGCACCTTGGTGGTGCGGAGGAGGTGGGGGAACCCTCGTGGTCCACGGCTGAATGGGTTCTGCTCCCCGTTCTGCCATTAACCTCGAGCATGGCAAGTCACAGCAGTATGTCTGTGGACTTGCTTTCAGAGCTGCAGGCGACAATGCAGTGTGACAGCTAACACTCATTATTTACTTTCCCATTGTCTTTTTCCTTGTGCGATTCTCTACTCACCTCAGCGTGCAACAGGAGAAATGTGTGGGCCCACTAATGTACTTCACTCACCTCCTTCAGGAGTCATAATTTGCTATTTCATATTTCAAAATTGCTCATTGAAGTGGCAAGGACAGAGAATGTTATTTCAGATGATTATGGTGTTAGGAAGCAAAGATGTTCTTTCCACGTAATTCTTACTCTATATGAGTGGCAGGGAAAGAAGACTAATCATTTAGAAAGTACTAAAAGGATGGAAGTATAAATCACCGCCTAACATTTTTTAAAACCCTTTGAGTAAATTTTGACATCTAAATTGCAAAAAATCTTCTAAAATTTCTATTGCATGTTGAAAGTATCTCTTTCCAATATTCTGATGAGGTGATTATACAAAATCAAATTACAGAAAAGAGTCAGATTTACTTTATTGAAATAATACCAGGTTTGAATGATTCAAAGACTTTTTTTCTTGAATCAAAAACGAAATTTCTTTGGAAATTTAACCAGGAATACGGTTTCATTCCGCTGACTTCTAATGGGCTAAATAAATAACTAAAATTTTAGCAGCTCCGCAGGTGCAGCAGTAGTGGGACAGAGCCAGGACTGCAGAATTTAGCAGAGCAGCGTGTGAGACAGTCACCCTCTGTTTTTAATGCTTTCAGATACGACCCTCGTTTCAACACCTGGATTCACCTGGCAAACATGAATCAGCGGCGCACCCACTTCAGCCTGAATGTGTTCAACGGGCTCCTCTTCGCCGTGGGCGGTCGGAACCCTGAGGGTTGCCTCTCCTCGGTGGAGTGCTACGTGCCTGCCACTAATCAGTGGCAGATGAAGGCGTCCTTGGAGGTGCCCAGGTGCTGCCACGCCAGCGCGGTGGTGGACGGCCGGATCCTGGTCACGGGAGGTTACATTAATAACGCTTACTCTCGCTCGGTGTGCATGTACGACCCCAGCAAAGATAGCTGGCAGGATAAGTCCAGCCTCAGCACCCCGAGGGGGTGGCACTGCGCGGTGTCCCTTCTGGAGAGGGTCTACGTCATGGGGGGGTCTCAGCTGGGGGGGAGAGCGGAGAGGGTCGACGTTCTCCCCGTGGAGTGTTACAGTCCTTACACGGGGCAATGGAGTTACGTCGCGCCCCTTCAAACCGGGGTCAGCACGGCTGGCGCCTCCACCCTTAACGGGAAAATTTACTTAGTGGGTGGCTGGAATGAAATAGAGAAAAAATACAAGAAGTGCATTCAGTGCTATAACCCGGATCTCAATGAATGGGCAGAGGAAGACGAGCTGCCTGAGGCCACTGTGGGCGTATCCTGCTGTACCATATCCATGCCCAACACCAAGACGAGGGAGTCCAGGGCCAGCTCAGTCTCTTCTGTCCCAGTCAGTATTTAAATACAGGGCTAATCAGCAAGAATGAAAAATGTTTACCAGCACAGCAGTATAATTAACCCTTTAAGTAGCATTTTTGTACTTATATGGAAAAAAAAAATCACTGGCTTTGCAATAGTTCTAACACTGCAAACTGGCCAGTTTTCATGATCTTTAATACAGCCGGCGTGAAACAGCATATTAGGGATAAGATGAATTTTCTTAGCAGGAAGAAAGAGTTAACCCATGACTGCAGAATTTCATTCTTTTCCTGACTTTGCCACTGACTTACTGTACTATCTGTGGCAAATCATTTAATTTCTTTGTGCCTTGGTTTCCTTACCTGTAAAATAGATAAACTTGCTTCAGAAGATTGTTGTGAGGCTTTTTTAATACTGAGTTTTAAATACTTTCAGAACCCTAAATGAAAGTCAATTATTTCTAGTAATAAATCTCAACATATATCAGAAATGTGCCATGTCATCATAAAATTGCTCAGTTTTGTTCTTTGCTAAGCATTTTTTATTTTGACAAATAAAAAAAAAAAACAAAACCAAGAAATATGACATATAGCATGTGCATACTTTCCTTTTGGGGCAGTGGTATTTGCAGAAAATTTCTCAAAACATTTTCTCCTTCAGAAGTTAGAAAGAGATAGCTATCTTCTGTCATGAAGCCTTTTGATTCTCATATCTAATGCTGTGACATGGCTTTCAAGACCTGAATCCACAAAATACCTTAGTTCCTGTAAGCATTGTGGGCCAGCCCTAGGGGCTACCTTGGGTACCAGCTTGGTCTCCTGAGCTACATGTGTACACCAAGGAGCAAACCACCGCCCCGTCCTCCTCCTCACAGCAGGGAGACTCTCCTGTCACTCCAAGTGGGAGGCATGAATGCCCGTCAGTGTGTCTCCTCTTGTTCCTACTCTTCCAATCTGTGTAGGAATGTGCCTCCAGGTTATCTTCTCATCCGAGAAGGTCTTCACCAGTGCAAGGAGCTAACAGGGGCAAAACCTGGAGAGTGAGTTCATGCCAGGAGGCACCGATGGCTAATGGTGTCCAAGAGTAGTGAAGATATGCAGAGTGTCCCTCCTACTCAGTATTATTCTGACAAATTCCCAGTGGAGTGAGGAACAAAGACAGAATAAAGACTGCAAGATCTGCCTTTAAGAGTAGGGTGTATCTGTGGAAAATAGTGAATGATGGGAAAACTGGATGAAATCGAAGAGACTTTCCTTAATAGTAACAAAGAGATACCTTAACACCTTTCTTACCAAGTGTAGGCACAGCATCACCCAGACTAACCTTTTACTGGGCATACCATTATGTGACTCCTTTTGAAGCCTTCGTTACTGCCCTATTTATTTTTTGAGGAGCTTTTATTCACGTTTTTCCAAAGGCTAGACTAATGCTGTGAAGTTTTCCCAGTGAGTAGAGTGAAGTCTTTGCTCAACTCAGATTACCTTCCAAGAACTTTTCTTCCTAATTTCAGGATGCAGTGGGGGAATTAAGCACAAAACCTGATCACATTCCTTTAGCCAAAGGGTTATGCAGTCTGTAATGTCCCCTGAGAATTTGATACCAAAGGCCTGCTCTCAGCACAGAATGTCCACATGCTTCTGTTGGAGAAGGAAAGAAGCGATACAAAGAACTAAAATGATTTAATATAACCAAGAGGATAGAAGTTCACTGCCTTAATGCATGCATAGAGGCTTCACATGCAGTTTCCTCAGATTAGCATTGACACCTTCAGGCTCCAGTGCCAAGGAGAAGGCATCCTCTTAGCAATATTTACAAGGCAGCCAAATTTTAATCTCATTTGCAAAAGGGGAACACTATAAAATTGTCTGCAAGTGCAGATATTGTTGAAGCAAGCATTTTAAGGACTCATACTCTTCTCTTTGTAGCTTTGTTGCAGCTACATATTGAGCATCAGCATGAACGTGACACAGTATTAAAGATGAAGTGATTTGCTCTGCCAGTCGGGGTTAAACTCCATGATGCTTGGTCCTGTTTTCCAGTTCTAACTTAGAGTTCATGTCTGCATCCTGACAACAGAGTTTAAATTCTCAAATTCTATTTTTGAGTGCTGCGTGTTATTAGAATATACTGAATTGCAATGACTTTTGGTCAGAGTAGCACTGTCATATAGTTTTGATTAATTTAATTAGCGTACAGTTATCCTTAATCCTTTTTAATGCAGATGAATAATTCAAATCCAGAGTCACAGAACAAACCATGGAATTGTGTAACAGAGTAAGATTACTTTGTTTTAAATACGAAAATGCTGTTCTTGCCCAATCCAGTCACCAGAAGCTTCTTGTAGATGAGAGCAAAATTTCTCTTTCCCCAAGCTCATGACCATGTGTTCCATACAAAAGTATTTTGGAAGCTGTTCAAAAAATCCATCCGCTCCAATATTTTTTTTGTGAAATTTTAATACTATTAAAGTTGCTTATCCATCCAGTCCAAAGAAGATACACATACACATATCCAATTATAACTGTATACATTTTCCAGTTATTTAGGGTTTCTAAGGTACCCATAAGGTGGCATTTAAGAATTGAAGAAGCAATCATTTTGGCCTCAGACAGACATTGGCTGAAATTCCGTCATATACAAGTGTCTCTTTTCCCCTTTAGGAAAAGAGTTCCCAAATGATGTAAGTAGTCAGGTGTTGCTGCACACTTTCCTCTTTTGTGAGCCAACACTTTTATACACCAGCAACCATCTTCTGTTTTCGAGTAGAAACGTATTTGTGAATGATGGGCTAAGTGCAATGAAACTACTCTCTTACTACTTAAAGGGTTAAAAATTTTGGGGGCCAAATCCTTTTCATCTTACTCACAAAAAAGTTCCATTGACTTCACTGGGACTGCTGAATAAGATGTACAGGATTTTGAACTCTTGGCCAAATTCTGGCAGAGCGGTAGACATAGATGCCTGCCAAAACTGTCATACCCAGAAGGACGACTGCTCCTCCACTGCCCTTGGCCACGACAAGTCCGTAACGATGTGTCCGAGGACAGGATCCAAGCAGCACTGGCCACGTGGTCCTTCCATAGCACAAATTAGGTATGTACTTCAGGCCAAAAATCTTATGTATATTAACAAACGGTACTGTTATCAGCATAGCACTTCAGTGTGGCTTTATATTCTTTTCTCTACACATCTGTTTAGGCTTCAGCTGCACATTGAGCCAGGATTTGGTCCTCGCTATGTGATAGTATCAGCTGGACTTCATATTGTTTTGATCATACCAATGTACTGAGCTATTTGTGGCATTTTTATGTATGATCTTGTTTTGTTAGAACTGTGAAAAATGGTTTGAATGTTGTGTTTTATGGGATGGTGTTCTTTCATTGGCCGGTACCTTATTTTCAGTCTCCAGATGTTTAATAACAATATCTCAGTTGAACTTGAAATATTGTATATTACAAAAAGAAATTTTAAAATGCAGTTTAGAAAGTACTGTATATGGTGATATTAAGTAGAGCAGAGGGTTTCCAACTGTATGAGATGCAGATTGTTAACACACTACAGGGATCTTATTTAATGATATATACTGGTAGTAAAAAAAAAAAACCCACCTGTTATCTGTTGTCTTCAAATTCCTTATGCCCATGCATTTTATAGTCGACAGCATCTGTGCTTCCAAGGAATTCAAATCTGAAAATAAGCTTTCTTCAGTGAAACAGCTTAATAATGTTTTGTTTTCTTGTTTATTCATGGTGTAGGTGCATGGGAGAGTGTGTTACAAGGTTGTGAAGGAGGAACTTGCTGTTGGAAAATTATGCTGAAAGGAAATTTTCTGTGCTTGGTTCTTAACCAAGATGAGATCACAATCATTTAATCTCTTCCTGAAGTTAACCCACGAGATCATCTGTGGATCGGTCAAGAGTTCAGTGAGCTTGAGTGCCAGCTTCTAGCTGGTCAGAGAGGGAAGCAGAGAAAATTAGCATCAACCAAAGCTGTGAGGTGTTGAAAAGTTTGTGCTGAGACTTTGAAATGGCAGTTCTTGCAAGAGGCAGTAAAGGATGAATGAAATGAGTGAATAAGACCATGCTTTATATTGTCCTGAAACCTAGATTAGTTGATCCTACAGTGTTAACTCTTTCCAAACCCATGCTGGGTTTAGGAGGAGTTTGTCACTGGTAACAGCTGGGTTTGGTAATTCTAGTTGCAAACCCAAAAGTCAGACAAATAATTGAATGAGTGTGTGTTCCTTCTTGAATTCAGTGGGACTTCTCCCATATACAGTTATGTGCTTCTGTCTGGAAAATAAAAAGACAAGAACTAAATTCATGGGTAATGTCCAATGAAAGCCAACAGGGAGGTATTAGGCTGTTCCTCAGTAGCACCATTCAGCGACCCACTTACCAGGCAGGCACATGACATTTTTTATAGTCTAGATTTCCGTCTAAGGATTCTTTCCTTTGGGATGGCTGCTCAGTGAAGTCCTCTGTATGCTCCAAGGGGTTTTCTGCAACACACAGGATGGGAGATGCAAGTGGCTCCATACAGTGGAAAGGGGAAGATGGAGCCCCTTAGGACAGCCAGGAGACGAAGATTTTGTTCACATTTCTCAATGATGTTTGCGAAATAAGTGCTGGAAGGAAGTACCCCTTCAACACATACCTTTCAATAAGCAGCCTTTCTCTATGTTACCTAACTGAGGTGGCCCAACCTTTGTTACGAAAAGCAAGGCTCATGTTTCAATTGCCTGTAAATTGAATTCTCCGTTGAACTGAATTTTCAATACATTTAAACCTGGTTTATCCAAGCTGGGAGATCTTTTTCAAATTCTGAACCTACCTGCTTGGAGGAGGCAGTGGAAGCCAATAGTCTTACTAAAGTCTCCCAAACCTTGTGCAATGAATCTTCTCATCCTTTTGTTAAAGACCTACTTTGTAAAAGTAATCAAAAACATTATAATGCACAGATTTGTACTTTGACTCCTCCATGCAAGAGGAGGATCTCTTGTCCCTTTTATTTTCTCTTTTCTTGTCCATAACTGAGTGACTCACGGGGCACCAAAGAAGATGCACGATGCAAACAGTACAGAAAAGCTCATCTGTGAATCTAATCCAAAAAGTCTCATCACTGGTGGCCACA